TCTGTGGGCTTCATCTGTACTCTGAAATGGAAAAAAAAATCATGTAAATAAGCTATAAATCACATTTTTTTGCCCAACACATTTTTATCTAAGCTTATTTTCTTACATTTTGTTATTATTAAAGGAATTGTTAAACTTTTCTAAGCTATTGAGTAAGTGTATCGGTGGCCATTTATGGCTTCTATTTGCATCATTCGTTTTCAGATAGATATCTGTGGTTGCTGTAATTCCATTGAAATGCTGAACCGTATACGAGGTCACTGGTATCATCTTTGACCTGTAACCTCAATATTAGTCGTTGACCTTTGACCTCAGCCATCATCTTTGACCTTAAACACGAACTTTATTCTTAAATCAGAAAGGAGAAATTCAAACGAAATGGCAGAAATCAAAGAGGAAATTCAAACCAATGGAAAAAAGACTTCAGGCAAAAAAGGCAGAAAACCCAACGATAAATGCAGAAATTCAAACGAAGAGGTAGAAATCACAATAAAAGGCAGAAATCCAAACCAAAAGACTAAGGTAGAAATCGCAACAAGAAGAAAAAGAACTCCAGACGAAAGGCAGAAATCCCAACAAAAAGCAAAAGATCTTCAGATGAAAAAGGCAGAAAACCCAATAGGCAGAAATTTAGACGAAAAGCAGAACTCCAAACGACAGGCAGAATTCCCAACACAAAGAAAAAGACAATTTCAGACGAAAAAAGGGAGAAAACCCAATGATAAAGGCAGAAATATAGACGTAAGACAGAAGTCCAAACGAAAAGAAAAAGACAGAATTCCGGACGAAAAGCAGAACTAAAAAGGCAGAAATCCAAACAAAACAGGCAAAAAATTGGTGGTACGATCTATATCAATTGGACGGTTGGTACGGTTGTTGTTGTTTGGATTTTGGATCTCGTTTTGCGGTTTGGATCGTTAGTATTTGGGTTAATTCATTGGTTGGTAGATGACAAGTTAACAGATATATGTTGGAAGACATGGTCGTTGGTAGTAAGTAGGATCTGGACCAATTTGGATGGTTTTGAATTTGACGAATCTTCAGACCTGGTTAAATGACATGGCGATGAAACTTGTCCTTTTGTAGTGTGGCGTGAGTTCTTCATTCTTCCAAAACGTTCGCGGGGATCCTTTGTACCAGTTGGTCCTTGGCCAAACCTCTTGGCGTTGATCTTTCCCGGATTATCTGAGCCCATTTACAGCTATGTCGACTGGATAACACCTTAGGCTTACGAAGATACTATCGTCGAGCAGGTCCTTGTCCAAATTCCTAAGCATTGATCTTTCCTGGATTGAAGGAAAAACAATAACATAAAGATTCTAACATTCTTATAGAAAGCGCTACAACCCATCCCCAGATATTTTAATAACTCAAAGCTCAACTTACTGGTGGATGGAGCATTCGCAGGGACTTCCTTCATCTGTTGTTCATCTGTAGGCGCCTCTTCATCTGTAAATAGGAGATCTGTAGAGTCATACAGGCCATGACTTCAGACCACTCCTATTGTGGCAGTGCTATTGCGGGGAGGTAAATTACTAGACGATTTATCCTTTCTAACCTGAAAGTAACAAAAAGACATGTTACTAGTGTACACCAAAATAGTCACGAACCTTTTACATTACAGGGACACTGATAGCAACAATTTACACCATTCTAATTTTCAATCAGACGTCTGTGGCCCCTGCAATTCCACTAAAGGTAAGGTATGCTATAGATGTATAAGGACCTTTGTGTTAAAACAAAGTTTGGCCAAGGACCAGCTGGTAGAAAGGATCCTCGTGAACCTAAGTTGTTATTCTTGTAAAATCAATACCAAGAGGTTTGACCAAGGACTAGCTGGTAGAAAGGCTCCTCGAGAACCTAAGTTGTTATCCTTGTAAAATCATTACCAAGAGGTTTGACCAAGGATCAGCCGATAGAGAGGATCCTCGTGAACCTACAACTGAATAAGTCGCCAGTCCAATTTAAGCAAATGGCCATAGATGCAGAATGTACTATAGGCTCTAATACGTTGATTAAAATATAATCAATTTAAAACTTACGTTAGGAGCTTCCAAGCCACGTCCTAAGCACTCAGTTTCTTCACAATGAAGCTCTATCTGTTTACACCTACAATCATAAAAACAGAATACATTATGTAGCCTACAACGTATATAACGTTTATTTCCGATTATAGTGCGCAGTTTTTAACCCAAAAGAAGGAGGGTTGCAAATTGGAGGATGCACGACACAGAGAGTCAAAATATTTTGGGTGCATTGTCCATTATATATTTTGTTTCATTTATTTTCTGTGGGCTAATTCGCAATCTTCCATCTGATTTTATATAAAGGAGCATTTGATTAGTTGAAGGAGTGAACACCCTTTTGTCATAAATGTTGTAGATCAAAAACGATTGAAGTAAACAATAAAAGAGAAAAATATAATGTCATTTGATCTTTTCAACTTGAAGCAAAAAACAACGAATGGAATTTTCGTAATCAATTTGCAAATATGATCATGGCTTCAGATATAGCCATGTACACCTACTACCAAATACCATACATTTGCGTGTATAGTGCGCAGTCCTTTCACGTTAGTCTTAAACTTGTTGATTTCTACCTAGCGAGCGAGAAAAAAAAGATTTTCAACATGGTTTTTCCCAATAATTTTCAAGGTAAAACCATTCTGGGCTGATCCTTATTAAGTGGCCTATAGTGCCATTAAGCGAGTCTTCTAATCATCGCACCCTTGATCATATAGATGATCTTTGATCTTTATAGATTGCTGATTGAAAGCATCAATTTGCACCATTCCAATTTTCAATCAGACGTCTGTGGTTCCGGCAATTCCACTAAAACTAAACCTTTTATGACGTCACTAATCGAGAAGGGCCTTATGTGATAAAGCATATTTTGTGATTAGTGACGTCATCAAACACTT